TACAATTTCTGTGATTATTTCGGGACTGGGCAGCTGGATCAAACAAGCGACTCCCCCCTCCTACACCCCACATCTGAGCTCCGCATAGGAAGCGGAACCCCACAGAGTAATGTCTGTGCATTGTGTTCTATGATGGTTTGGTTCCCATCTTTATCAGCTGGGGTTAGCCACTCCACAGGATGCCTTTAACAGGACCTCCACCACAGATAAGGGTAGACTGGAGAGTGGCTCCCTACAGCCCAAGTTTGTTGATATGGTCTCTCCCAGAAGACTGAGCCCCAGAGAATGTGGAAGCAACCACATCATTCAATGTCAGCAACGGGAAGACTACAGGGTTGCTACCCAAACCTAGGCACCTGTCTACTTTGAGAATGACTGATTAATCATGGTCCCACGGTTGTCCCCCTATTCATACTCACGGCTCTTTACAGTAACTCACAAATCTTCGAGCCTCGCTCTGACACTGGTGGTTAAATGAGGTGTGGAGAGAATGAGCTCCCCAGCATACACAGAGATCCTTCCGTGTAGCAGAAAGGCAAAGTCAGGAAGCCAAATGGCAGTGCGCTGCTTTTCTGGGATCAGCGCCCGGCCAACCCCTCTGTGGCAGCGACCTCGGCCCAGGTCCGGCGCCCAGGCGCCCATCTCCGCGGAGGAGCCCTCCCGAGGGCCTGCGCGGCCGGTTATTAATACCCAGACCGGCACATTCCCAGCTGGCAGGGGGACAGGTGGCTGCTGCAGCTCAGGAGCCGGCGTGGTGTGGAACTCTCGGGAGGCGGGAGACCCACACCGCACCGTGTGCCCCGCCGCCCCGCCTGGAGAGCGCTCGGGGACAGACATTCCTTCCGCGCGAGTGACATTAGCCAACCTGCGCTCGCGGTGAGGGCCACTGGGTCTCGAGTGTCTGAGTGACTGGACGCGGGCGCCTCTCTTAAGCCCCGGGCTGGGAGGCAACCGATGGCTTCGTGACAGACAGAGGTGAGCACACGGTTGCGGGCTGCACAACCCCAGGTGCATGGACCTGGGCGCGCGGGGCGTCCGCCAACCCCGAACCCAGCTTGCACTTCTCTATCCCGGAGGGCGCGGCCCGCCGGAGTCCCCGGAGTGCCAGGGAGCGCCTGTGTGCTACTCGGGGTTTGGTGGGTCTCACGGCAGCGCACGCATTGGAAAGTTTCGCCCTCCCTGGACCGGTGACTGGAGGGGCAGTCGTGGCTTCTGCTTCTTTCGGCCTTCCTAGCTGGGCAGGAGGACCTCCGCGTCTCTGGGGCTGACCTGTGAGGTGAGACAGCAATGGGGAAAGGGCTTCGGAGCAGACGAAACTAGTAGCTGCAGGTGTGGAGACCATGTCTCCTCACCCTAGACCTGCCTGATTCTTCCGCTTTGGCTGAGGGGAAAGAGCACTTCTAGAAGCCATTTCTAGGCCTGGATGTTGGGGAGGCCTGTGCAACTCTGGGTCTTCTCTATCTGCTTCCTCTCAGAAAGTTCACCCTTTAGGTCCACCCTCTAGGCCTTTCTTTTTCTTGTGAGGTCAACCTAACAGAGCAAGAGCCCCAATATGCTTATACAATAAATATAAGAAGCTTAGAGGGGTTTTTGTTTTGGTTGGTTTGGTTTTCTGAGTCAGGGTTTCTCTGTAAAACCTCTTTTGAGCCCTGGTTGTCCTGGAACTTGAAACTCGCACTGTAGACCAGGCTGACCTCAAACTCAGGGATCTGCCTGCCTCTGCCTCCAGAATGCTGGGAATAAAGGTGTGCGCTGCCACCCCTGGTTGGAGCTTAGAGTTTTTTGGGTTTGGGGGGGGGTTGTTTGTTTGTTTTACATGTTTACCTGTGTGAGGTCCACTGATGGCAGGGAATGTGCATACCTAGCTCCAGGGACTTCCAGTGTCTCTCTCTCTCTCTCTCTCTCTCTCTCTCTAACACACACACACACACAGACTGCTTTGACCTCCTGTAACCGTGACCTTCTCCGTTAATGAACTTATCTCAGAGGGAGCCACATTTAAGCTCCTGCTTGCTACTGTCCTTCAGAACCCTGTCTCACCCAGACTGCAGTGCTAGGCTTTTCCGTTTCTGTGGGTCATTTATAAGGAAGTTTTGTTTTATTCTATTGCTGCTGCTATTTATGGTCATTTGGGTTGTTTCAAACTCATTAGACATGAAGTTGCTGTTCTTTGGAGTGTCAGTGGGATCACTGGTGACATGGAACGCACCTGTTTCGCTTCGTTGGAGAGCCAAACTTTTCCGAGGCTGCTGTAGCATTTCACGGTCTCAACTGGAGTCCCCGAGGATTCTAGTTATAACCCCCATAACTCAACAACAGGTGCGCTGATCTTTCTGGACATAGGCATGTAATGAGTGTTTTTCTGCCCGGCCAGTCAGCTCCCAAATAATGACACAGAGACTTATTATTAACTATGAAAGCTCGGCCTTAGTTTAGGTTTGCTCCTAAGTTCTAATAACTTAAATTAACCCATTTATATTAATCTATGTTCTATCACGTGGTGTTACCTCTCTTCCAGCTTGTGCCTCCTGTTTCCTCTCCGTGTCTCCTGGCTACTCCCATGTACCTAAATTCCTCCTCCTCTCCCTTTCTCTCCCCATAGATCCTGCCTGTACCTCTTGCCTCTGTTGGCCGTTCAGCTTTTCTTTACACCAGTCACAGCAACCCACCTTCACACACTGTGCAAACATCCCGCAACACAGGCACGCTGTGTGTGTGTGTACATGCGTGTGTATTTCTTAGAGTTTCTTTGTGGTTTTGATTTGCATTTCTCTGACGGTAACAAGCTATGCAGAACATCTTTTCCTTAGCTTGTGGCCTTTGGGGTATTTTCTTTAGACATTCCTGCTCAGTTTGCCTCCCCACAGCCCATCCCACAAATAGCTAATCACTCTTTTCTCTATGGTTTACAGTTCTCACGTGTATACTGTTCACTGGTCCATTGATCTGATGTATATTTTATCATCTCACCTTTACTTACTTCATGAAGCTCTTCATTTTGATGAAATTTGGGGTTTTATGTTTTTTAAAGACATTTCTATTGATGTGTATGAATGTTTTTGCTTGAATATATGTATGTACTGCACATGTGTACCTGGTGCCTGAGGGGTTCAGAGGAAAGTGGCAGATCCCCTGGAGCTGGAATGACAGAGGGCTATTAGTGGCTGTGGCAGCGTGAATGAAAATGGCCCCATAGGCTCACAGGGAGTGACACTGTTAGAGGAAGTGTACCACTGGGGTGGGTTATGAGGTCTCGGAAGCTCAAGCCAGGCCTAGTTTACCATTCTCTTCCTGCTGCCTGCAGATCCAGATGTAGACCTCTCAGCTATCTCCCCATCCCTGCACCACGTCTGCCTGCATGCTACCATGCTTCCCGCCATGACGATAATGGACTAAGCCTCTGAACTGTAATCTAGCCCCAGTTAAATGTTAGCGACTTTTCGCAGCAATAGAACCCTAACTAAGACAGTGGCCATGTGGGTGCTGGGAGAGAGGGGAGGCTGTACTATAAAAAAAATAAAATAAAATAAGTGGGCATGGTGGCACACGTAGGAGGCAGAAGCAGGTAGATCTTTGTGAGTTCAAGGCCATTTTGATATTCTGACCTGCATAGTTCCGGGCCAGCCACAGCTGCATAGTGAGTCTTTGTTTTAAAATAAAACCATTTTCTGGGGGGTGATAAGATGGTTCCGTGGGTGAGGGTGCTTGCCTCCAAGACTGAGTTAGAGCCTAAAGACCAACCTGCATAGAAAAGAAGAAAAGAATCAATCCCAAAGGTTGTTCTAACCTCCACATGAACACTGTGGCATTCATACACAGATACATACACTCACACGTGCACACACGCACTCACACATGCACACACACACTCACACTCGCACATATGCACACACACTCACACATGCACACACACACTCACACATGCACACACACACTCACACACGCACACACACTCACACACACTCACACATGCACACACGCACCCACACATGCACACACACATGCACACACCCACTCACACATGCACACACACACACACACACATGCACACGCACTCACACATGCACACGCACTCACACATGCACACGCACTCACACACGCACTCACACACGCACTCACACACGCACTCACACACGCACTCACACACGCACTCACACATGCACACACACTCACACATGCACACACGTACTCACACATGCACACACGTACTCACACATGCACACACACATACACACACTCACACACACATGCACACACACACACGCACTCACACATGCACACACGTACTCACACATGCACACCAAATAAGACTGCAATTTAAACAATTTTTTAGAAAAAAGAAATATTTTCCTGCCGTGGATCCTAATATTTTCTTCCACAGGTTGTTTTGATTGACTGCCCTCCATCACGGCGTGTGTAATGTGAGCCAGGGATCCAGGCACATTTTCTTCATATGATAAATGAAAATCCAAAAGCCTTTACCCACTTTTCTATTGGAACGTTTAAGCTCAGTAGACATTACTTCTGTGGCGGGAAGAAACCCCTTTAAAGCATACAAGTGACATAAAATGGAAAACGGGACTCTGGGGTTTCAGAGCGAGAACTTAGGACGCTTGTCTCTGCCAACTGCTGACCTCTGCTTTGCTGTGACCAGCTTTTCAGAAACAGAAAGGCTTTACATTTGCATTGGGGTAGACTGGCACACTACTGGGGAGTATCCTGGGGGTAGACAGTGGGTCCCAATGGCTATAGGGTCGCCTGTGTAGCTGGGGAGACGACACAAAGGGGGTTCTTCTGAGGGTTCCAACAGGAGACAGGACTTGGTGAGCCCTCGTCTCTTTTCAGAGGGGCAGTGACTGTGTCCCTCGTAGAGGCTGCTAGGGCATGGAAGTGATGATCTTGCACATTTGACAATAATCTTCTCCCACAGGACGCGTTTTCCACAGGCCCTCCTCTCTGAGCAGTGGGACTCCCACCAGAAGCCCAGTGTGAGGACAGAGATGGCGCTGAGCCTGGAGTCTACAACCAATTTCCCCACGCTGACCGTGTCAGAAACTGTGTCTGAGTTGCCTGGCGGCCCCAATGTGTCCCTCAACAGTTCCTGGACTGGCCCAACAGATCGCAGCTCCCTGCAAGACCTGGTGGCCACGGGTGCCATTGGGGCAGTGCTCTCAGCCATGGGTGTGGTGGGCATCGTGGGAAACGTGTACACCCTGGTGGTCATGTGCCGTTTCCTGCACGCCTCAGCCTCCATGTATGTCTATGTGGTCAACCTGGCACTGGCCGACTTGCTGTACCTGATGAGCATCCCCTTCATCGTAGCCACCTATATAACAAAGGACTGGCACTTTGGAGATGCGGGCTGCCGTGTTCTCTTTAGCCTGGACTTTCTCACCATGCACGCCAGCATCTTCACTCTGACCATAATGAGCAGCGAGCGCTACGCAGCGGTGCTGAGACCTCTGGACACGGTGCAGCGCTCCAAGGGTTACCGTAAGCTGCTGGCACTGGGCACCTGGTTGCTGGCACTGCTGCTGACCTTACCCGTGATGCTTGCCATCCGGCTGGTTCACAGAGGCCCCAAGAGCCTTTGCCTGCCGTCCTGGGGCCCTCGTGCCCACCGTATTTACCTGACGCTTCTCTTCGGGACCAGCATTGTGGGGCCCGGCCTGGTCATTGGGCTGCTCTATGTCCGCCTGGCCAGGGCTTACTGGCTATCTCAGCAAGCCTCTTTCAAGCAGACGCGGCGGCTGCCAAACCCCAGGGTGCTCTACCTCATCTTTGGCATCGTCCTCCTCTTCTGGGCCTGCTTCCTACCCTTCTGGCTGTGGCAGCTGCTGGCCCAGTACCACGAGGCCATGCCACTGGCACCCCAGACTGCACGCATTGTCAACTACCTGACCACTTGCCTCACTTACGGCAACAGCTGCGTCAATCCCTTCCTTTATACACTGCTCACCAAGAACTATCGTGAGTACCTGCGTGGCCGCCAGCGAGCACTGGGTAGTAGCAGTTGCCGTGGCCCAGGGAGTGCTGGCAGTTTCCTGCCCAGCCGAGTCCACCTCCAGCAGAATTCCGGCCGCTCGGTGTCCTCCAGCAGCCAGCAGACCACAGAGACCCTCATGCTGTCCCCAGTTCCCCCTAGTGGGGCCTTTGTCTAAACGTGCAAGGACCCAAAGCCAGGCCACCGAGAAGCCCGTCCCAGAATCCCCTACTCAAACCTAACCATCTTGTCCGTCCTTCTCAGCTGTCTTCCGGAAAGTTCCCTGGTTTTTCTTCATTGTTGCTCACTCCAGCTCCGTCAGCACCTTTCCCGCAGTGGCAGCGCCAACCCGCGCCTCCTTCAAACCTGTCTCTCAGAGTCTTCAGACCCTGCGGCCCAGACTCGCTTTCTGTAGACCCTGGTGAACTGAGTCATCTAAAGCCTACTTACCCAGAGCAGCTACTGCCAGACCTTGAACCAGATCTGTAGAAAACCCTTCCGGCCTTAAGGACCCCCCTCTACTGGTTGGTGAGGGCCCTGCAGCCAAGATCTACTCTCTCCCTCCCCTAGCACGTCCCAAGGTAGCTTCTTGTTTCCATAAGCACAAGGAACAATAAACCCTGTACTCTGCAGTCTGCCCTGCCTCTGTGCTGGGGTTGGAAGTTGGGATGGGGGTGGTCCTGGCCTCAGGGGATCCCCAGTGTGAAGCACCTGAGCGTTTAGTGAGGGCACGCCTGCTTTCCAAGCCTTTGCCTGTGAATGGGAGGCCTCCCCTTTATTTAAAGTGGAAAGGAGGGCGGATAATGGAGAGGTTTACAAGAGGCTGGGGGTGGGGCATGGGTAGACCCGGAGGAGAAACTGCCCAGCTAGCAGTGAAGCTCAAGTACACAAAGGAAGCCCTGCAGGCTACAGTTCTTGGATGAGATAGTCAAAACCCAAAAGTGACTCACAGTGACACCAATAAGGCCCTGGCTTCACTGCTCCTGGACAAACTGTTTCCTTGCCCCAAGTACCATCTTCAGGACATCCTTTGTTGGCTGGCCATTTCTCTTGCCATGACCAGACCACACCTGTCCACCCACTTCAGGGTGATCATCAGAGGCTGTTGTACCTTTCTCTTGCTGAAGGTCGGGTGCACTTTTGTGGCAGGATTTGGAGTGCGGGTCTCTGGAGTGATACAATGTTCCAGATGTAGTCTCTGGAGCGATACAATGTTCCAGATGTAGGGTCTCTGGAGCGATACAATGTTCCAGATGTAGATTCTCTGGAGTGATACAGTGTTCTAGATGTAGATTCTCTGGAGTGATACAGTGTTCCAGATGTAGATTCTGGTGGCTGGCCACAGGGAATATAGCTCAGTATCAGAAAACTTGCTTAGCCTGTGAGAGGCCTCAGCTCTGCAAAACCAGAAACTGACTAGTGAATCACTTGAGGATGTGGGCAGTGGGACCAAGCATCCTAACCCAGCTGAGACCCCTGTCCTGTGCTGCCCCTCTCCTTTACCCCAAACCTTACTGCATCTCTGATGCCGGGCTTCAGCTTTAGAAAGCCCCTTTTCTTGATAAAGTCCAATTCCAGTTCTTGTCTCAAAGAACTCAGAGCTGGGTCCAAGTTTGTTCCACCCTTACTTGACACTCATTTCTATTGTGGCCTCATCCTCTTTCCAGGCCCCCCATTTCTCTGAGAGGCTTCCTCCTTCTCCAGAGTTCAGATGATCCAGTGCCCACTTAGGGCACTGTGACCAGAGTCAGCACACAACTGAAGGGGTGGATACCATCCCCAGAAAGGACCACACCTCTCCTCCCCTCAGAGACTGCTCTACAGTACAGGATGGGGTGGCCATGAACTGCAAAAGCTTGAGCAATGGGGAGTATAGCTTCATCCCCAGAGCTGATATCAGAGGGGAAACCTAGTGAGGTCTTTAAGAGTGTGTGTCCTCACCCAGAGGGACCTGATATATCCTAAATGTCCCTACCGTCCTGACAGGAACAAAGTCCTAAAGCTGGAGCTTCTAAAAGACCACTTGTAATAAGAACCACTGTCCTGGGAAAACTTGGATGAATAACCAGTATCTCTGTGACAATCACTATCCTAGAGTCTTGGTACCTGCTAGATCTGGCCTCGGGGCCTCTCTGGGCCAGCACTGACAGAGGTTGGTACCAGAATAATGATAATGAGTACTTACATGTGCACATGCACATATGTGCGCGCACACACACACAAGTACACACACATGCGCACACGCACACACAAACCCATGCACGTGAACACACATATGTACACGCACGCGTGCACATACACATGCATGCACACGCGCATACAAAAACACGCACACACACGCACGTACACTACCCACATAGAACAAATGCAGCAGGTACACACCACAAACATGTATCCCACCACACATTCCACACCACACACAACAAACGCGTAAGACATTTACCTCACACATTCACCCCAATACGCATACCATATCAAACACAACACATACATATATGCACATGCCACAGACACAACATACAATGTACACAAAACACACAGCATATACAAACACACACTAGACACATTCAGCACACTCTGCCATCTGACAGAGATGCTGCCTCTGACAAGCTGACAATGGGGGTAACATGTCAGCTTCCAACATGAGTGATTCCAAACCTAGCTTCCAAGTCTCTCTGTGTGTCTCTGGGACTCAAGAGAGGTGAGGCTGGTGGGGTTGGGCATGACCACCATCACAGAGTCACACCTTGGCGGTCTTCCTTTGGCCCACAGCTACAGAGGTAGGCCTATAGATGGCCTGCCTGCCCTCGAGTCTAGCTGGAAGTTGGAGCTGCCCTCCACTGAGACCTTCCTGTCACACCCAGCACAAACAGAAAGCTCTGCTGGAGAATTCCTATTCAGGGAAAGTTACAGTTATAATGGAGAAAGCCTATGCTGCTCTGATGAGCCAGGAGAGGACTCGATGAAAGGAGGGAGGGGAAGGGGTCAGGAGAAGTGGAAGGGAGGAGGAGGTGGAGTGGCCACACTCCCAGGCTTGATCTGGCTGTTAATGAGCTGACAGGGTCTCCACCTGAGTCCAGGCGCAGTGGTAGCCAGTGGCTGGGGAGGGGGAACTGTGGGCCTGTGTGATCAATGAACCCACAGAGGCTGGGGGACACAGGGTGATAGATCAAGTTCTCTAGCTTTTAGACTTCATCCACCTAACACTCAAACTCTAGCAAAGAAGAAAAAAGCTGCAATGTCCATGTGATGTAACTGGTGCTTTTTGTCAAGAGTGTTAGAGGAAGGCGGAGCTGGCCTCTGACCGTCCCAGGATGAGTTAGTTGGCTTCTGGGGACACCATGTTCCAGGACAGTGTTCCAGATCATGTGCCCTTGGGATATCAGGTCCACCTACCCTGCCTGGGGCTCTTGCTCTATCCTGCATTAGACCCGGGTGGGAGCCACTGGTGGGTGTTGCCTGGGCAGGTGGTCAAGGCCACTCTTCACCGGTCAGCCTCGCTGTGGATGCCTGTGTCTGGGGCCATGGGACTCAGGTGCAGAGTCAGAAGCACCTGCCTCTGATCTAGACACAATGTGGACGATGACCAGGGGAGCAGAGGCTCCAAAGCCTTTGTGCCACTTTCCTCCAAGATGCTAAACACCCCGTCACTATAACCTTCCAGTGAGGTAGCCTGGCTCCTATCTGAACCAGGATGGCCCTGGAGACAAGAAGTTTGCCACCAGGCAGGTTACTGTGCCTCTCAGTCAAAGTAAAACTCAGATGGCATTTTAAACATGTGTGTGGTGGTTTGAAAGAAAATAGCCCCGTAGGTTCATAGGAAGTGGCACTATTAAGAGGTGTGGCTTTGTTGGAGTAGGTGTGGCCTTGCTGGAGAAAGAGTGTCACTGTGGGGAGGGGGAGCAGGCTTTAAAGTCTCCTATGCTCAAGCTACACCCAGTGCAGGACACAGTCTCCCCTTCTGCTGCTTGTGGATCAAGATGTAGAACTCTCAGCTCCTTCTCCAGCGCCATGTCTGCCTGCTCACTGCCATGTCCCGCCATGATGATAATGGACTGCGCCTCAGAAACTGTAAGCTGCCCCCAATTAAATGTTTTCCTTTATAAGAGTTGCAGTGGCCATGGTGTCTCTTCACGGCAATAGAAACTCTAACTAAGACAGTGTGAAATATAAAATTATAAAAGAATGAAGGAGAAAGTGAGTGCCCATTATCCCTAAAATGGGGAAAAGAAAGATGACTACAGTCTGCACTCTGGAGGCAGAGGCGGTTCAAGGCCAGTGCAGTCTACACAGCAAGTTCCAGGCAGCCAGGGCTACACAGTGAAACCCTAATTTAAAAAAAAAAAAAAAAAGGAAGGAAGGAAAGGGAAAGAAAGGAAAGGAAGTAAGTCTGACCCAGAACCAGAGCTCTCCAGCAGAGTGAAAACTCTGGTTATATATAAGTCATTTAGAATTTGAAGCAGGAAAAAAAAAAATACTAACAGTCAAAATAGAGAGTCTGTGGTTTAAAAAGAAATAACAAAACCAAAATTAAAAAAATTGACCTTACTCATCAAGAGCCCAGTGGAACTAATTGATAGAAAATTTGCCTAAGAGGCATGAGGGACTGGGTTCCAAGCCTAACACCACAGAATAATAGGGAGTAGACAGGCGGGTAGATAAAATATCCAATGAATATAATCAAGATACAGTGTTTACATGTATGCAACTGTCAAAGAATAAATAAGGGGTAGTCTGTTTTAAAATTCAAATAAATACTTAGAGTCACACAAATGTTTATGACTCTTGCCTGAGCAATCGGAATTTTATCCCTGAAATCCAAATGTCAGACGTGGCTAAGGATTTATGTAGCAAGGACCTAATTTCAGCAGTCGTGGAGTGTTCCACAGCTATGAACTAGGTTGTGGCATGGTATCTTCAAAGAAGATCAACGTCCTGTGGGGTCAGACAGGGATGAAGCTGTGGTCATGGAGGGAGACCAGAACACAAGATTGTGTAGCACAATCTCAAGCCTCCTTTAAAACAAACGGAAGTGCATCTGTGATTGTGTGCACGGGAATCTGGTGTGTGGTTGTATGTGTGTGTGTACCAGTATGCCTGTGTGCACGACTGCATGGTATGTAAATACACATGTGATTGTGCACATGGGAGTCTGGTGTGTGGTTGTGTGTGGACATG